TGCTGGAGAAATTTATCACCATAACTTTGGGCATAGGACTTTTGGCCATAGTGACAACTTAAAAAGGTTAAAAAAATGCATGTTTGCTGAGGCCTGTGTGGTCATTATCTCTTTCTGCAGGGACAGTACTAGTAGAAAAATGGGGCAAGGAATAATACTATTCGTAAACTCTTTAAAAACTTTGATTTATTTTAAATATTTTAATGTGCGATTTTGCTCAATGATGAACAACTATTAGAGGAGTTAAACCATATTCATAAAGACATTCTTGCTGTCGATAAATCCAATTGATATCAAGAACTTATGGATACATGGAAAATAACCTCAAGGTTCTCCTTGAAGATATTAATGAAGGAAGGAGTTCATCATGTATTCAAAGACAACAAGAAAGATCATTTCTTGGAACACTTGGTCCTTTTATGTTCCAGGATTGATGTCAAGTAGACCAGAGAGGTCAACATGAAGATATCTGAGGGTTTGGGGCTAACATCTATTATAAGGGACAGAAAACCATAGAAGTTCTGTTGAAAAGTTGACAGGTTGGAAGAAAAATAATCCTGTAGAGGTAGCAGTTTATCCTGAGAGCATGTGCAAATTAAAATGGCAGAAGGATATGGAGTGGAATAGATGTGCTATAAATCTGTGGGATTCTGTTTTCAACAGTGATGATAGTGTAATCACCACTTTTGGATTCTTCCACTTTGGTATCTAAAGTACTATGTGAGGAAGTTTCCATGACACATAAAGATGCTGAGAAAGAACAGCTGAACCTGACCAGATATATACTGAAGAAAACTTTGCTTGAAGTAGAATAATTTTCAAGGCAACCTGAATTGATTTTCAAGATATTTCAAAGAGGATGATGTTAAAAGCATCAAAATCATTACAAAGTAGGGAAAAGGTGGCTAGAAGACACTAGCAACTATTAACTTTTCTCTAAATAATCTTCATGAGAGGAAGGAAGGAAGGAAGGAAGGAAAGAAGGAAGGAAGGAAGGAAGGAGGGAAGGAAGGAAGGATGATATAGAGAAATTTTATTTTCTGGAATAAGGGAAAAAGTAAGACTCATAACAGATGACTTCTATTTGAGATGAGATGAGCTCCTCTGCTGAAGGGGAAGGAAGGAGGGATGATATAGGTGGCTTTAAGAAAGAAGAGAAGTTTTGGACTAGCTGCAATTCAGAGTATGACAGTACATCAGGTAAGAATATAAGGTTTGCTATGAAGCATTGAGGGTCCAGTTGAAATTTGATAACATAACTTCGCTGTTGGCCAGGGTGGGACTTTATTCAGTAACCTTTTATAGTACATGAGTAGGAACAGAGAAGGCCAATGGTAAAGGTACCCCACAGTTGGGGATAGAACAAAGAGGCAAGGAATTCAAAGGTAGAGGGGTAAGACTGTGAAAGGAGGAAAGTGAATTTATACTTAGCTCGTTGGACTGGGTGTACAGAGGAGCTGTCTCCATATGGACTATCTTACCCCTTCCCTCCCCTCCCCTTTTACCCTTTTCCCTCACCCAAGCTGTCTCATAACTCATAACCCATCCTTGACTGTTGGACTTTGGGAAGAGCTGCTACCTTCCTGGGCTACTTCTCTGTTCATAGTATTTGAATGACATGGAAGTCAACAACTCCTTCCTTCTGATGACAAGTAGGGGCAATAGGCTTTGCTATCTGCCCTGCCTGCATGCATAGCATTCCCCCAGCCCTGTCATCCTAATAACTTAAATAACCTAAGTATCTCTGAACCATGCAGTCAGCCCCACCTAGGTACTTAGGACTTTTGGGTCTCACCATGCACCCTGCGGCTTTGTATTCTTTTGTGTTTTCTCACTCAATTAGAATGTGAATCTCTTGAGAATGGGAACTGTTTACTTTTCCTATTTGCATTCCCAATGCTTGGCACATAGTAAGCCATTCATGCATGCTTTGTCATTAATTCTCATTCATTTATCACCAAACAGCTTCAAACAAACCCAGAGGTTCAGGGCTTCTACTCCCTTACTTTACAACTTGGGAAAGTGAGGCTTAGAGACTTGTTGTTTATTATATAGGTAATAATTGCCAGAGCTAGAACTGGAACCAAGATCTTCTCTCTCTAAATCAAGCATTCCCCTGCATCATGCTTCTCATATAAATGTGTTAGAAGTGGTAGAGAACCACTTTCCTCTAATTTACTTTCAGTCTTTAGCAAAATCAGTAGTCTCTTCATGCTCGGAGAATTTGAGGTATTGTATGTACAATAAATTGTAATTTGAGAGACCATTCTAAAAGTTGGCATTTTGAAACTGAAGTTACTTATTTGAAGTGTGGATTTCACAGGAGGAGCTCTCTCATCATGGCTCTCTAGAATCATTTCCTTGGCCAGCAACATCTGTGCTGCCCTTTCCGAACAGTAATAATGATTCGATATTGCACCTCCTTTTATTATTGAAGAGGGCTTATGGTGCCTTTATTGAGTTACATAGAAATCAGCCTGATTTTTTTGAATGAGCAATAAAACATAAGTATTTAAATATTTAATATGCTGCCTTTGCACTATTAATTAAAATAATGGATGTTCTGTTCCTTCTTAAAATAGAGTGTTATCTTAGGGCCTATTGCTTCCATGTTGCTGACTTCCAACAAGCTCTCATTGAAACTGAACTGAGTTCAGCTGAACTACTCTCTACCCTAGTCTGTTTTGATTACAGAGACCTTACTCATTATAACATTTTCTTATGACCAGTTTTCCATCCCATCAGATATTTTGAAGGAGTTTATCATTCTTTTTTTTTCCTGACCAATTTCTTATGTTAAGCAAAGATGTCTAAATGATGATTTCTTCAAAGAGATAGGAAAGGAAAGTGAGGATTTGAGATAACCTACTTCAGTCTTGGAAACATCAAATTTCATTTGATTCAGAAAAAAATAGAACTTCATAACTATTAATCATTATAGAATTTTGTGTTTATATATTCAAAGCACAAAAGCTACATCTTAATTTTTTAAAAAGAAAAAAGGAATATAAAATAAACCCATGTAAATCATCACCATTTCTATAAATTACCAACAAAGCTCAGCAAGGAGAGATAGAGAAATTCCATTTAAAATAACTTTAGACAATATAAAATATTTGGGAGTCTACTTGCCAAGACAAACTCTAGAACTATATGAACATGGTTATAAAACACTTTTCACACAAATAAAGTCATATCTAAGCAATTGGAAAAATATCAATTGCTCACGGGTAGGCCAAGCTAATATAGTAAAAAAAAAAATGACAAGTCTACCTAAAATAATTTACTTATTCAGTGCCATTCCAACCAAATTACTAAAACATTATCTTATAGAGCTAGAAAAAGTAATAATGAAATTCATCTGGAAGAATAAAAGGTTAAGAATATCAGAGGAATTAATAAGAAAAAATCCAAAGGAAGGTGGCCTCGCTATACCAGATCAAAAACTATATTATAAAGTAGCAATCATCAAAACTATTTGGTGCTGGCTAAGAAATAGACTGGTGGATCTGCAAAATAGGTTAGGTACACAAGATACAGTAGTAAATGATTATAGTAATCTAACTTTGATTAAACCTAAAGACTCTCTCTTCTGGCATAAGAACACACCATTTGACAGAAACTGCTGGTAAGACTGGAAAGTAGTATGGCAGAAACTAGGCATAGACCAACATCTTGCATCTTATACCAAGATAAGGTAAAAATGGGTACATGATTTAGACATAAAGAATGATACCACAAGCAGATTAGGAGAGCAGGGAATATTTTCCTTTTAGATTTATGGAGAAGGGAAGAATTTATGACCAAACAAGAGATAGAGAACATTATGAAATGCAAAATGGATAATTTTGATCATATTGAATTTAAAAGGTTTTATACAAACAAAACCAATGCAACCAAGAAAAGGAAGAAAGCAGAAAGCCAGGAAACAGTTTTTACAGCAAGTGTTTCTGGTAAAGGCCTCATTTCTCAAATGTGTAGAGAACTGGGTCAAATTTATAAAAATACAAGTCATTTTCCAGTTAATAAATGGACAAAGGATATGAACAGCTAATTTCCAGGTGAAGAAATTAAAGCTATCTATAGTCATATGAAGAAAAATCCTCTAAATCACTATTGATTAAACAATGCAAATTAAAACAACTCTAAGGTACCACCTCACACCTATCAGATTGGTTAATATGGCAGAAAAGGAAAATGATAAATGTTGAAGAAGATGTGGGAAAATTGGGATTCTAATGTATTGTTGGTAGAGTTGTAAACTGATCCAGCTATTCAGGAGAACAATTTGGAACTATGCTCAAAGAGCTATAAAACTGTGCATAAGATTTGATCCAACAATACCACTATTAGGTCTCTATCCCAAAGAAATTTAAAACAGTAAAAGGACCTACATGTAAAGAAATATTTATAGCAGATCTTTTTGTGGTGGCAAAGACTTGGAATTTGAGGGGATGCCCATCAATTGGGGAATGGCTGAACAAGTTCTGGTGTATGAATATAATGGGATGCTATTGTGTTATAAGAAGTGATGAGCAATCAGATTGCAGGAAAAAAAAACAGGCCTTACATGAACTGATACTGAGTAAAGTGAGCAGAACCAAGAGAATATTGTACATAGTAACAGCAACATTGTGCAATGATCATCTATGATTTACTTAGCTCTTCTCAGCAATGCAGGGATCTAAGAAGACTCATGATGTAAACTGCTATCCATATCCAGAGAAAGAACTGTGGATTCTGAATGCAGATCAAAGCATACTGTTTCCACTTTTTTTGTGTGTGACTTTTCCCTTTTGTTCTGTTTCTTCTTTCACAACATGACTAATGTGGAAATTTGTTTACATGATTGCACACATATAACCTATATCACATTGCTTGCCATCTTGGGGAGGAGGGAATGGGAGGGAGGAAAAAATTGAAAATCAAAATTGTATAAAAATGAATGTTGAAAACTATCTTTACATATAATTGCAAAAAAAATACTATTTACCAAAAAAAAAAAGAAAAGAAAAAAGGGAGGAAATATTTTTTAACAATTTTATGTGCATGCAGAGATAGCTGTTTTATTGGCTTATGACACTTGCTGATGGCTTGGGCAGTCTTTTCAGTTACTGGCAAGAATCAATTCTGAAATTCTACTTCATCTGCAATCCTTGTAGAGTATCTTTATTTTTTTTTTCCCTCCAAGGCAGTTCACTGTTGACAGTTCTTTTCACTCTTCTACCAATATCAGAACATATGATTGCATCAAGCTGGCTCCAGGCTCGAGTGCTGACATTTTCTAGCACAAAGAATGCCCACATCACTCGAACATTTGAAAAGTGTTAATGAGCAGATCAAAAGGACTGTTGCCTGAAGCAACTGACTTTTTTTTTAAAGAAATCGGCTCTCCTCCAAACCGAAATCTTCATTCTTTCAGCTAAGTAGATGAGAAGTGATTCTCCCTGATGATGATAATAACAAATAAAAAAAAATTGGAGAAGAATCAAACTCTACATATGGTTTATAAAGTGGTGGAAGTATTTTCCAGAATCTTCAATGCAACACTGAAGTATGCTAAGTGGAAAAAAATACTGGCAACGTTGCAATATTATGCCTTTTAAAATCTCCAAATTCTCATAAATTATAGTACATATGAATACATGTATTTTTGAATTACCAGTGTCCTTATATTACTCTGTAACATAAGAGTAACATTCTTACTGATTTTTTTCCTTTATAATTCATCAGGATTTAGTACTGAAATTTCACTTTCTTCTGAATCAGTTTTTTTTTCTAATAAAAAAGGGGGCATTTCTTACCTTTCTCTGGCAAATATACACACACACACACACACACACACACACACACACACACACACATATATATATAATATCTCTGTTCCTACAAGTGTAGGATTTAGGAGTGGAGGGTACCTTAGAAATCATGTACTCAAACCCCTCTGTTTTACAGATGATGAAACTAAGGCCAAAGAAGTTAAACATGTGGCAGAAGGTCACACAGGTCAGGGGTCAGAGAGCCAGGAACATTAGAATTGGGATTCAGATCAGGTCCTCGAGTTCCATCCAAGTCAGCATTATCCAATGGTTAACAAACTCTCACTTCCTCTTCCTACTTTCCCAGTCCCTGTGATACTGAGTCCCAAACCTCGGAAAAACAATTAAACCTCCTCCAAACCCTGCTACTCTTCTCTCATCTCAACCCTCCCTTCCTTCAATGTCCCAATTTGAATCTATGCCTTCCACTGTGCCTTCTGGAACTCCTCTGTTAGAATGAATGATTTTCCTTCTCTTTTAACCTCTTTTTGTCATGCTCTTTCTATCTTTTGGTACTCACTGAGACCTCATTCCATGTACATGAAACTGCATGCCTGGCCATTTTTTCAAGTATTCTAATTCATTATTTCCAAAGATGGAGTCAGGATGCTCTTGCTTCCCATTGCCTCTTTCAGACTCACCCTCCACCATCACTCAGAAGGCCCTTCCTCCTTTATGATTCACTATATTCAAATTTATCACCCAATCTAGATCCCTCTGGCTCTTATCTACTGACCACCACCAGGAAATCCTTCTTCCTCTATCAGTGAATGCTGTGCTTGGCTTTTTCTCTACCCTATCACCCATCTAGAGGACTTCAGAATGCATGTCAATGTTCTGTCAAGTACCTTAAGCTCCCAGTTCCTTAGTTTTCTCAACTACCATGACCTATTTTTCCATTCCATCTCAGAATCCCACAGAGAAGGTCCTACTTTTGATCTCACCATCAACCAGAAGTGGTGTTCTACTTCCATGATCAAGAACTCTGAAATTGTTGTATCCAATCACAGCCTCTGCCAAGATTAAGGCTAGAAGGGAAGAGAATAGGAACAGGGATTGTGATGAGCATTGGAAACTGAAACAGGTGGTAAGAAAGCCCCAGGTTTATCCTTTTACTCTCCCCCGGGATACCACTTCCTAGCTGAGTGGCTTCTTCCCTAAGGGAGTTAGAGGATAGGAAAGTTTTTAACCATCAAGAAATTGGGAAGATTGTGGGAGATATTTAAGCAGTAAATTAATGAATCATTAAAGAACAATGGCTAATAAAGGTATGGTCTAATGGGGGCAACTCAGAATTTCTGACAGTTTCAGAGTTCCATCATTTTCAGTGGCTTGCAGAAGATTTGCTCTTCTGAAGGCAGCTGACCTAATTAGAAACCCATAATGGGGACTGCCTTTTATGTCCTTTTAGGTGGATGAAATGGGAAGTCCTAACATAAAAATGAGTTCCCTCTGAAGCCATTACTCAATGGCTAACAGTAAAGAAGAGGGTAACTTTAAAAAAAAAAAAGATAGGTTTATTGGACTAGGTTGAGTTTACACTTCTTCCCCATGACCTCCCCACCTCCCTTCCACCTACTCTAATTACATAGCCTGTCTTCTGGGTGGAGTGAGCCCCACCTGAATGCTGTTAGACTTAATCTTTGGGCTGTCCCAAATCCCACTCTTTTATAAACCTGGATGGATTAACTGATAAAGTTTGAGCAGGAGATTGGGGCAACTATCAACTCAGAGAGTCACTAAGGGAGTAGTGAGAGGATTAGGTGGGCATAGTATGATAATGATATTTTTTGTAAGGAACTTTGAGTGTGGCTTTTGAAAGGTCTCATGCTCCAGGATGGGTAGATCCTGTTTGATCCTGGGGTTTTTGGCTAAAACTAGTTCCCATCTTCTGGAGGAATTATCTAGCCTTGCATCCAGTCAGTCCCCAGTTGCTGGGATACTCATCTGGTTATTTCTCCTGGTAGGGATGGTGATGAGGACCTGTGCTGCTCCTGGCTCTAGCCCTTTAGCCTTCATCAGATAGGGAAGAGGCCCCCAGGTTACCTCTTGTTATACTGCATTCTGGTCTCTCTTTTTTTTTTCTATGAAACTGGGATACTTTGCATGTAACTTTCTAGCTTCTTTACAATCCAAGATTCTGCTAGTCTTTTTTTGTGCAGTTCTGGACTGTTTGGGCAATTTCATAGGTGATTTTTCTCCTTTAAAAAAAAAGAAATCATTATTTCTGGATAATTTGTGAAGGAACTGGGCCCTTCTAGGTCCTAGCATGCTGTCACTTTCCCATAATTCTCTCTTCTAAGATGACGAAAACATTTTTTTAAAGGAAGTTCAGCATTATAGTAGTATGCTTGTGGATTGAAGGCAGATGGAAAGGCCAGAGATGGTTACTATGATACAAGATGTGAATTGGTGAGGGCCTGGATTAGGGTGTGACAAGGTTAATAAAACAAAAGCAATAAGTTCGCATGAAAGAGAGTTTCAGATCTTACTGGACTGCAAGATAAATGTGAGTCAGAAGTATGACAGTGGGCATAAAAGCTAATGCAACTTTAGATTAAATTAGGATCAAAGTAGTGTTTAGGATTGGAGAAGAGATTTCTTCTCTCTACTCTGCACTGGACAGGCCATATCTGAAGTACTTTTCAGGAATGGACATCACAGTTTAGGAAGGACATAGGTATGTGTGTGGGGGGAGGGGAAAGCATTTATATGGCACCTATTATATAGGTACAGTGCCAAACACTTTACTAATATCTAATCCTTACAGTAACCCTGAGGATACGTACTATTATTATCATTATTTTACATTTGAGGAAAGTAGAGGTTAATTAATTTGTCAGAGGTAAATAACTTGTAAGTGCCTGAGGCTACATTTGAATTCAGGTCTTACTGACTGCTGGATCGGGTGCGCTATCCATGGTGCCACCTAGTTATCTAATTAAGATAGAGTGGAAAGTGCAAAATTTGTCATAAGTCAGCACTATCTACTGCACCACATAGCTCCCCCATTCTTAACATTTAGATCTATCCCAAAGTGTAACAAGCTGCCCTGAGAGGTAGGAAACTTCTGCTCACTAGCGGATTCGGGTAAAGACTTGATCACCACACGTCTAGGAATGTTATAGAGGGGATTCTACTTCAGTTATGGATTGGACTCGATGGGCTTTGAAGTCCCACAGAACTCTGATCTGCTGTGTACTTTATACAGACCACATCCAGAATATTATTTTCTGTTCTAGGCATTGCAGTTTACAAGTGAGATTATCACATTGGAAAACATCCAGTGCAGGGCAACCAGAATGGGAAAGGATTCACAGAAGATTGGCAGGGGTAGAAGGGAAGGAAGGAAACAGACATTCATATAGTGCCTGCTATGTGCCAGGCATTATGCTAAGGACTGCATAAGCATCATCTCATTTGATCCTCACAACTCTAGGAGGTTGGTGATACTATTATCTCCATTTGACAGTTGAAGAAACTAAGGGAAACAAGCTAAGTGAGTGGCCCTGGGTTGTCCTGCCCAGCTAGGAAATATATGAGGCTTAATTTGAACTCAGGACTTCCTAACTCCAGGCCCAGTGTGCTCTCCACTGACCCATAGCATGATAGGTGTAGTATAGGCATTTGTTCATGTGAGTTTGGGATTAGATTTGTTCTGTGTAATCCGAGAGGGCATCCTTAAAAGCAATGGGAAGAAGCAGCAAAGAGCCAAATTTGTCTGAGAAGATGGCAACAACAAAACCCTCTGGAGCAATTAGAACCATCTCATTAGATAGAACCAGCTGTCCCGGATGGGACATGTCCTTAGTGGACATTTTCCAGCATAGGCTGGCTATCTCCTTGTCAGGTTTATCGTAGTAGCGATTCTTTTTGGGGGTGTATCTGGAGTTGACTGACTGCTGAAGTATCTTCTAACCCCGAAAAGCTGTGACTTTAGGAATATGGTTGAAAAGAAGAATGGTTTAATCTTTTTGATATGACTCTAAAAATTGACTTATAAAAGGAATATCTTATACATAATATGTTACATTATCTATATGTTATACATACAATTAATAATATACTATATAATTAAAAATCTCATATATAAAGATTATCAGTTAAGCTAAACCTCTTTCTATTGAGTTGTACATAAGTTGATTTATTAATATTCTTTGTATATTTCTTGATTTGTGGTATTTGAGAGAGAAGAAAATGTCATCAACTACGGCAACTCAAAACTATTCCTCTCAATAGTTACTTCTGTTCCATTCACAATGAAATGAAAAATTCAGAACTCCTATAATTAAAAAAAATAAAATAAATGAATATATAAAATATAGAAATATATAAACATATACTATAATATATAAAAATATAAAATAAAAAAATAAAAAAATAATAACCTGAGGTAGGAGCTAGTCTATGCAATATTCAAATAAGGAGGTATATTTTCAAATCCTGTGTCCCAAAATATTAGTACTTAACAAAGTAGATTGAATAAATAGCTTAGAAACCTGGGTAAGGGCATGTGAGTTCCTAAAGCTCCTTCACACTTGTCACTGGGTAAGGAATTTTCCAGCATCTTAACATGAAAATTCAGGGAAAGACAGCCCAATTTAGGCTTTAGGCTGTGTTTTTGCTTACTTATAGTAATTAACTACATATGATTTCATGAATGGAGATGCATAGCAAACTACATCCAATTAATTATTTAAAAAGGGTTACTTTCGTTTTGAATACTTGCCCCAAAGAGTCATTGTCAACAAGTTGATTTTGATTGATGGCAAAAGCCAAAGGAAAATAGTGTTTTGACTTTTACATGATCTTGGTAATCAATAGCCAAGGGAGCTGACATCTGTAATTATCATTAATGAACAATCATGGATACGTCATAGCAGAAGGCTTCTACCGGCAGAAGCTGCAGTTGGATGTGAGCATCTATGCTTGTATTACCATTTGACTTAAGCTTTCTGTCTGATGTTCTTACCACAGGTTATCAAAGATCCTCCCCCACCACCACCGCCGCCACCCAAAGAGGTATGCACTTGTTGGTTATTTTGTATGATTTTATGTCATTGATTATTTTACATGATTGTGTTGTTTTGCCTGGCATTCAGCTACATTATACTCCAGTTTTGTTCTGAGAACCCCACTTATACTCATATCATATAGGAATGGAACAAATCGTATTAAGTTTCATAGTTTAATTTTTATATGCCTCAAAATTCTTATGGTTTCCTGCATATGTAAGAGGAAGTGAAGCTTTATACACTGAGAAAATATTGATTAGGATCTTAGATTCAAGATAATCTAGTTTTTACAAATTCTGTTGATTCAATGTTAAAGTTTCTGAAATCACTCTTTCAAAATAATAAAACAGAAAAAGGTAGTACTTGGAAATCTTTTTAGTCTTACCAGTCATCTTAAAAATAATGATTATTTTAAAATTGGCTTTAGTTGACCTACAAGCTTGTATTGCAATGTGAATAGCATCAGTGTTGGTGAAACATGTATGCTTTTATTTTTCAAAATTTCCCCTATTTATGGTTCAGTTTCATGTAGATCTAATGCCTGAAGTTGTCTTCGATCATTATATTTCCCTAATTTAACTCCTTCTTGCTTTCAAATGTAAATTGATATTAAAAAAAAAACCAAGCAATTCTGAAAATCAAATGCTATCTTTTTTTAAATGGCAAAGCACTGAGGTTAGTGCAATAAGGAAAGATGGAATCTTGAGGAAGGGAGTAATGCTCGTGACTTCTATAACTCACTTGAATGAAGGGTTTATTCACTTTTCTAATATCATGGACTCCTTGGCAGTCTGGTGAAAGCTATGGCTTAGAAACAGTACTTTGAACCTAGGCCACAGAATAGATAAGATAGAAGCAGGCTTTCCATTTGTTCTGACCTCCAGATGTTCTTTGGCATCTTTTAATTGAAAAGCCTTACTATATATAGATAGACTTTTATAGCTCTTCTCAGAATGACATTTTATGTACATAAAATAAGATACATAGGATGACAAAAGAAACCAAGTATGTTG